AAGGAGTGCCCAGTTACTGAATTGTAAAGAGAAGAGCTTGCATAAGTGGAAGATTTTTTAAATACTTTAATGGTACGGGGTGGGGGGGTCATATTATTTTGCTACTAAGGTATGTGATTATGTTTTAATTGGCTGATGTTTACAATGTGGCTTTTCTTAAAAACACATTTTTTTTCAAGATTCTCTCAATCATTGCTTATCTCACATTCACAAATATCCATGCTTCCTGTGTATAATATCTACATTTGCTCTTTTTCAAACATACTCATACTCAAAGTTTATTTCACATGGGACATCAAGAAAACAAAGTCACATTAGTCTGAATTTTTCTCTCAGTTAAAGTTTCATTAAAATAAGTTCACAGTGAGTTCATCTCTCTAGGTTTACCCTTCAGTGTAAATTTGTTGCTGTTATTTATTAGAAAGTTAGTGTCTGGACGTTACTTAAAACTGATATAATTCAATATAGTTTTTAGCCTTTTTGGGTTACCTTATTTTTTTTGAAAAACTGTTCCAAACATTTCCAAGACATCTTACAAAAGCTTGCTGTAAGCACACAAAAATATAGGAAACTTTAAAAATGTTTGGATTGCTAATTGACTGCAAAATGTGTAGTAAAATCTGTGCTAGGTGGGTGGCAGGTTTAGGGACAAAGACTTTGTGGGCTGATTGGATCTAGCATACTTTAGGGCAATAACATTTTTAAAATCAAAACTATTAATTAAATTCTACACTGTTCCAGGTAGCATAAGATGTCCCTACCTTCCTTACCGGCAGTAGTATAAATAGGGGAGAGCTCTTGGGGGGAGGGGGCACAAGAATGGCAACTGCCACTGCTGCTGCCATAGCCTAGCCAGCCCAGCCCCTGCTGCCACCTCTGCTGCCTCGGGCACAGACCTAGCTAGTTACACCTCTGCATGCTACATGGTTTCTGTTTTGTTTCATTTATGCCTGTTGCTTGCTTGCTTGCTTGGCTGGGGTGGGGGCAATAACAAGAGAGCAAGATCCCACTCACACTACCAAAGCACTAGTTATGTGATTTCTGTGGAACTGCTCATATGAACATGATTTGATCCATAAGAAGATTGTAGCAATTAGAAAATAAAAAGCATATATGCATCATCTATAAATAAAATCCATTTTTAATTAACATTAAACAAATGAAGAGGCAACTTTTAAAATTATTTGTGAAGTATGATAGTGATTTGGCAAATCCACATTTGTGACTGACAACAGATTTCTTTTTTTTAGTTCTGCAAGTCAGAAATGGTTCTGAACCTTTGTGCTTGTGCAAGCCTCTATCAAGATATTCTTACCACTTTTTTGTTTTTCTTTTGAAATTAATGAAGCGATATCTGTTTATGACAGCAGTTTGGAACACAGCATGTGGTCATAACTCATCATAGCTAGAACAGGATTTCAAGGGAAAAATTTGCAAGTGTGAGCCTAAGTCCATGAATTCTTACATTATTGCAGAGAGTTGCAGTATCTAGTTTATTTTTCCTAATTAAGTGCCTTAGTATTTCTAGTGTATTATGGTTCATAGATTCATAGATTAAGGGTTGGAAGGGACCTAGTAGATCTTCTAGCCCGACCCCCCGCCAGGGCGGGAGAACAACAAAAAACCCCAAAAACAAG